TGAGAAGCTTCCCTTGCTTTCTGGGCTGCTATTCCCCCCACCTCGCTCTGCTCCCACCGTGAAGGTCGCATGTGAGCCATCCTACGTGCAAACCTGCCTGCCGACCCCAGGCCGGGAGCCCCCAGTGCAGGCACTAACAGTGCGCCAAGTCAGACAGGCATGAGACGAGGCGTCCCTGTCAGGGATAAGCCATTATGCAAATATGAGGTGCTGATTGTTGCAGCAATTTAAAAGAGGCCTCTCCTTTTGGGCCTGTTTTGCTTGATAAATTATTCTTAAGTGACAGTATTTTGTGTTAATTTTTTCAACTAGCTGCTCGTATTATTTGATTAGGCATCATTCAGTGATCTCAAAAGTGAGCTTGCAGCACTCGAGAGAGGATCTTCAGTCCGGTGTTATCCGTTCACACAGGGGACTCTGCTCCAGCTCCTGCAATGATGCTCTGGATCCGAGACCCATGCTGCTCAGCATGGGGCCACTGGGCTCACGGGTCTGTCGAGCTCACAAGGTGGCAAGTGGAACTGAGCAGTGCAGAAGTGCCAGCCACACCCGGACTAAGGAGCTTGTGCTCAGTGAAGAGTGTAAGCTGCCTCCTGATGACGTTACAGTGATTACACACCGAACCATGTAATACTTTGGACATATCAGGTTAAATAAAATGCATTCTTAATGTCACCTGTTTCTTTTTATTTTTTAATATGGCTACTAGAAAATTTGCAATCACGTATGTGTTTGATTTCTACTGGACAGTGCGGCCACAGTCATTTGGGAGCTGAAGAGGAAAGTCACCTTCTTGGTCAAACCGGAGGCAGGAACCCACACTCACCTGGAGTGCACACGGTGCCTGCCAGGCATATGCGACTCCCTCATACTGCCCCCAGTGTCACTGTCAATCTCCCAAAGAGTACCATGAAGTGGGTACTGACATCACGTGTTCATTTAGGAAACCGAGGCACAGAGAGGTGAGCAACTTACCAGTGGCCACACAACTAAGAAACGGCAGAGCCGAGGTCAAACCCAGGTCTGACACAATGATCTTGGCTCTCTGGGTTCGGGGTGTGGCCAAGGCAGGACAGATAGACTCTCCTGGGGCCCGCCAGGTGGGACCCGCCAGGTGGGACCCGCCAGGTGCAACCCTCCAGGTGGGGTGGAAGGTAGCTTTCACTGCAGAGCAGCGCTCCGAGGTCTGGGGCTGCTGAGCCCTCAGTAACCCACTGCTGTGTCGCTGGGGGCTGTAAAGGCTCAGACACCCTCCCGTGGGAACGGCCTCTTTGAGGTGTATTTTGAGGGGTCGTCATGGGGGGCCGACACCCCTCTGGCAGGGAAGGCTGTGCTCCCTCTCGTCATCCCACCACACTGCCCCAAACAGCCCTGTAGCTTCTACCTCCAGGGCAGTGGGTCTCGGGGGGGCAGGGGGTGGAGTGGGTCTTCATAACCTTCACATTTCCAGCTCCTGGCCCCGGACCTAACACCAGAAAGTGCTCAGTAACCAGCTGATGACTGAATGAATAAATGATTGGGTGAAAGAACAAAAGCACCCTTCAGCCACTCACACCTGCTGGCCCCTCACTGGTCTCCTAAAACCCGGCCAGGTGCCCTGGGGGAGACGGCTGCACCTGGGGGGCCATGATCTACCTCCCCCCGACAGCTGTGGAGTGTCTGAGGTCTGGGTGGCTGGGAGGGGTTCTGTAGACACACAAGGTGACCATCACTCTCGACAGCCGGCTGTCAGCCCAAGGAGAGAGCTGATCCCACCCCTTCCCCAGCTCCAGCCCTGAAAACGTATGACCGCATTCTGTCCCCAACCAGAGTCCGGGTGAGAAATGGCATTTCTGTCTGTGTCTTCTAGATTGCCATAATAGCTAAACATCAGCGCCAAGTCCATGGAGACAGGACGCTAGTCAATCTTGCTTTTCAGTGAGAAGAGAAGGGGGAAAGGCATGAAAAATGTATTGAACTCGAGCCACTGGGACCAAACCACAAGTTAAAGACTCAGATTCACTCCCCTTCTCTATAATTTATGATTTATGTTTGCAATAACTGCAGTCATAAGGAACTCATTACACTAAGGAGGCCCACTCTTGATGTCGTGGAATAACGTTATTGGACTGCACAAAGCCACAGTTTCCCCAGGCTCACTTTTCTGTGCAAAAGGAATTAATACCACAGGCAGAAAATGGGGAAAATGGGCACCCCAGGGTCAATGCCTGACTCACCACGCAGGAATCTTTGAGACCGAATGTGCACCACAAGCCACTGGAGACAGGCCTGGCTAGCCAGGAGGCCTGGGCATCTCTGGCACCAGTTCAGGGGACCGTCCCGGCTCAACACCAGGAGGCTCCAGCCAAGGAGATATTTCACGCCTGGCTCTGGCTGCACAAGGCCGACGTGGTCCCTTTCCTCCTGGACTCCTAAGACTGTGCTGACCATTGAGGGAAGTTTCCAGAGGACACAGCGCCTAATCTCAGAGTGGTGACTCGGGAGAAACAGCAGATCAGGAGCTTGCCCTCGGCACTGACCAGGGGGCTCCCCAGGCTTGGGGGGAGGTGGGGTGGGGTGGTGGCACTGACTTTGCATGGTACCGAGTTTAGGGCACAGATGTGGAGTCGCATCTGAGAGACATTGGCCAGTAGTGTCTTATCTCTGGGCTCAGTTTCCTTATCTGTAAATCAGGGACAACCACAGACCGGCCTCAGAAAGTGACTGAGGGGGAGGGGGTGCAACAAGATGAGGTCCCAGCACTGCCCGACCCCCGCAAAGCCTCGCAGGCACAGCCCACCACGGCCGTCGGCGTTGCGTGGAGAGGCAAGTCCTGCTAGGGGCTGGTGAGGGGGCAAGGCGGGGTGGGCGCATTGTGAAGACACAGAATCTGACCTTCTGGTCTGCCCGACACAGACATTTAACCCCCTAATCACGGTGCAACCCATGGGCAACCCAGAGACCACATGAGGTCGACCAGATGTCCCCAGGAGCTCCAAGAGTCCAGTGGGACCAGTTTGGACCCTGTGACCAGCCCTGTTTCAGGAAGACAAGCTGGTGGCAGCTACTCCGACCACTCCAGCTAGCAGGTAAGGAATCTCTTTCACAGAATTTGCATGACAAGGCCACAAGCACGGTGCTGGCATGCTTTTTTTTGGATGACTTAAATTGTTAACACAGACAGGAATCCTGCAAAAAGGCAGGTAAGGAATCTCTTTCACAGAATTTGCATGACAAGGCCACAAGCACAGTGCTGGCATGCTTTTTTTTGGATGACTTAAATTGTTAACACAGACAGGAATCCTGCAAAAAATCTTTGCCTGGGCCCCCACCCTAGAGGCAGCCCTGGGTGTGAAGGTGAGTGACATGGCAGCACGGTGCCCCAGACATAGCAGGTGCTCAGTAAGTGCCAGTCTGGTCCTTACTCTCAGTCTGTGTTCTAAGATGAAGGCAAAGAGACATGATCAGAGTCTTCCCAGAAGGAACATGCAGTTTATCCAGAAGAAAGAAATGTGCTGCCACAGAGCAGGAGTGGGCGGCCAGGAAGCCTGGAGGCACGTTCTCGACCTGCCTGGGCTGGCAGTGGGCAAACCAGGTCAGGAGCCGCCAGTGACGACCTGCAGGATGGGGCGCCCCGCCTCCTCCGTCCCAATGCCCCTCTTCTGGGAAGTGCCCCCTCCCTTCTCCTGGGGTGGGCCACATGATCCCACCTGGCCATTGCTGACCCTGCAGAACCAGGCCTGGGCTGTGGGGGTGGAGCACAGAAATCCTCTTAGAGAACAGATGAAGAAGACACAGAAGAGAGCAGGCAGGGGGCCAGAGGGGAGGTGATCCTGTGGCTTTGGTGGCCTCCTCTTGGACCCGCCTGTCGGGCCACAAGACCATCTGAGCCACATGGTCCTCTGCTTTCAGCTGGCACACCAGGGGCCTCCACTTTTGCAAGCCCGGGCTCTGCCCCTCACCCACACAGCATCCAAGGACCAGGCCAGAGGGGCACGGCCAGCCCGCCCTGCCTAGCACCCCCACGCCCAGCTCTCCCTGCAGCTTCTGAGAAACAAGCCAGCCAGGGCCAGCGGCCACCACCCTGCCCACCACCGGACAGCCAGGCAGCCTTCCAGAACATACAGGGCGAACAATGAAGAACCGCTGGTCTCTGTGGCCCGCGAGAAGCGCGCGCTCCCACCCAGGGGCACGGGGGTGGCTGGGCGGAGCGGCCAGAGCCAGCCCTGCCGTGACCTGGGGGCCGCCCTCTCTCCTGACACCCTGGACACCCATGGGAAACTCGCCCTGCTGCCCTCCCTCCCTCCTCCCTCCCACCCTCTCCCCTGCCCAGTCCGTACTCAGCCAACTCCTCCAGGCTGCGGTAGACGTCATCGTCATTCTCTGC